CGACGTTGCTGGGACTTTACCGAAGGATTTGGCTCGGCGTGGACATAGAGTTATGGTTGTGGCACCACGGTATGGTAACTGTGCAGAAGCCCAAGAAACAGGAGTGCACAAGAGATATAAGGTGGATGGGCAGGATATGGAGGCTGCTCTCAAGGTTCTCTTCTGTAAGCATACCCGGTGCGTTCTTGTGATCCACAACATAGCACACCGGGGTCGTGGTCCAGTACGCGATTTTCATTATGTGGATCTTCCACAAAACTAGTTCAAACTACATGACCCAAGAGGTGAGGAACACTTCAAAGTCCTTGCAACTGGCCTGAAAGCAGCAGATCATGTAGTCACTGTAAGCCATGGTTACACCTGGGAGCTGAAAACTAAAGAAGGTGGTTGGGGTCTGCATCAAATGATAAATGAGTTTGATTGGAAGCTGAAGGGCATCGTGAATGAGATTGATGCAAACGAAGGGAACCCACAGTTAGATGTTTACCTGGCATCGGATGGCTACACCAATTACTCTGCGGAGACTCTTCAGACTGGCAAGCCTCAATGCAAAGCAGCTCTACAGAGGGAGCTTGGTCTTCCTCTTTGGGAGAAGGTTCCTCTGATTGGGTTCATTGGCAGGCTTGACCATCAGAAAGGTGTTGATCTCATTACTAAGTCCATTCCTTGGAGGGAGGACCAGGATGTGCAACTAGTCATGTTGGGCACTGAGAGACCTGATCGGGAACAGCTTCTCAAACATTTTGAGAGTCAACACCATGACAAAGTCAGGGGTTGGGTTGGTTCCTCTATGAAAATGGGCCATCGAATAACTGCTGGTGCAGGCATCCTACTCATGCCTTCTAGATTTGAGCCATGTGGACTGAACCAGCTTTATGCACTGAGCTATGGGGCAGTCCCTGTTGTTCATGCTGTTGGTGGACTGAGAGAGAGTGTGCATCCATTTGATCCATTGGCAGAGTTCCAAGCCACGTATCCAGAATTCGTGCTTGAGGACAAGCTCGTTGTCTAGGAGGGGTGTGATGTTATGGACACACCGACTGGCAGCGCACTGCAGCGCAGTCATAGGCAGCAGCACGCACAGCAGGCCGCACAGCAGCAGACACC